ACCATGTTTCTGGTTACAAAAAGATGTTAAAAGGTACTGATTTCGTACCATTTTTGGAAGCGTCCAAAACACCAGAAAACAAAGACTGACCAAAGACTTTTAGCCAAGTCAAAAATACTACTAGCTGGTATATGACAGAGACAAACAGGAGTCAAGATTGCTTTCCCTCATTCTTTGTTGCCCTCACTACACCAAAAACTCTGTGCTCTCCCCAGTTATTTCTGTGAAGGACCATTTCATGCTTTGGAAAGGTAACTATTCCACAGTTTCAGACAAAACCACCAGCATTGCCCAAGGTCCACTGAGGCAGAGCTATGAACAGAACGTGACATAGCCAGAGTCCTGTCTCGCCCATTTTCCAGCTGCAAGAGGGTACAGCAATATGGCAAATTAGAAAGCTGCTTAATAAAGTCTACCCTAGTCTGGCTCTGTGCCACTGTCCAGAAAACCACACAGAAAAATGTATCACAGCAAGAGAAATCTAATTCTTTATCTAGGTAGGGAAAATTCTTACCAGAAGCAAAAGATCTCAGGCTGGGTCTTAAGAGATGACCTGAAGCACAGGTGGTGCTGGTTAGGGCTATGATACCTTCACACACAATAAATTTTCAGTTCCTAAAAGCCTAAAACAGAAGTGAGGAATCTCGATGCCTAGACTTCCACCAATGTCTTACAAATAATTGCATAGGCCAGATGTAATAAATGTTATCAGTGCTATGGTTATGATAACACAAAGAAGGGTAATGGTGGCTCCCATCTCCCCCTTCCGTAGCCAAACTGGAAAATATCTGTACAGTGTATAAAGGAGACAAAGCTCCAAAATCTGATGACAATCCACGTGGACATGGATTAAAAGTCTCCCTCACAAGCTGTCCTAAGAATCCTGGAGTGACAGTATAAATTATTACCACACATCATCAAGCTGAAAAGCCCAATACTTAGTTTACTACCATATATTAGTGGTTTGCATTGGACTGATTGCTGACATCCCTTTAAGAACATATTGCAGCAGCTGGAAAAATTCAACTTGAAACTGAGAGAAAAGTGCAGGATATGTGACCTACACATCCGGGGAGAAAGGTCAAACTTGAGTCCAAAACAAATCTCATTTTCAGAGGAGCAAACACTATCACTTTCAGAGATTTATGCCACAAACTTCTCCCTGATGGCTATGTGGAACTAGCTATCAAAAAAAGTGTATTGTTTAGGACTCAGTTGTCAATTAATTTGAGTATCAAATAATACAAGCATGTTACATGGATGGCTTCTTTTAATGGACTCGTTTACCTAGTCTATGATCTGCTTGTGATTTCCTTGAATTTATTACACTATAGTTCTTGCTCTAAATGAGATATTTGAGCAATGCAAAAATACACATGCAATTTCACTGCTAGCACCTAATCACAGCCATGAGAGTATAAACAATGTATTAAACAGCTAGCCTTTTCTGATGTGGTGTGAAGACAATTTCAGCAACATCTTTCAATTCTATGTTGTATAATAACCTAACAATTTGGAATGAACCATTAGCTTACTACTTCTGAGGAATGGGGCTGTGTCACTCTCTGGCAAACCCCCAGCACAGCCCTGGCTATCGACGCCGACTGACGCTGCACATCTCCCTGCAAGCAGAGCTGCAGAAGACAGATGGAGAAGCCAATGCTAGAACAACAGATGACAGTGTGAGCCAAAATCCATTTCAGATGGAAAAATCAGGAAGAAAATGATGAAATAAACCCCATAAGAATGTGCACAGGGCATCTTTCCTCCCAGTTCAGTGAGAGATTTGTCATGCAAATAGAAAACGGTTCATATCAGGAAGGAAACGAGTGAAAACAAAGGATTATTTGAAACAGGAAAAAAGGCAGTTGCAAGGAAGTTTTTGCTCTCAGATAACCACATCAGAGATAGCGATGGCTCCGGTCTAGTTTTTAACTGAACCGTCTGTAACACCAACAAAACTCCAGCCTCCTTTCCCACTGGCACTGTAGCCATCTTCTGCCTGATGACTGAACAATCATGAATCACCTCAGCACTGTCCCCTCAAGAGATAAACATCATGCCATGACACATATATATACACGTGTGTGTGTGCGCAAATACACACACATATACATGTAATATATACGTATATATACACATTATTAATAATTTTTTGGTCTTTACTGTGCTTGGAGGAAATTGAGTTCAAGATCAAGTGGTCACTTAGGAACCCAGGTACTATCTTCACTTGTTGCTACCCATGGATAGGCGCTTTAGTCCAAATGACATTCAAAAGTCTTCCAAGAAAAGGAAGTTTGTCACAGACAAAGTTTGCTGCTAACAATTGTCACATTTTATCAAAACAAAAAAAACATCGTCCATTTTACTTTTACAGTAAAATTATATTTTTTTCCAATATATTATATGTGACTCTATTAAATTCATGAGCTTTATGTATTTACATAAATAAAATATGTACATTTAATATACTTGTACATAATACAAAATATAGAAAGAAAGCTAGGACACCTCCAATGTGCTTTATAGACTTTCAGTCTCATGGCTCAAATAAAATACTTTAGTTATTAATTATAAATCAATTAGAAATAACGTATTTTATAATAAGCATTTTTAACACATTTTAACAATTCCAGTATCACTTGACTGCTTCCCACCCTCCTTGGGACAGCATGCACAAAAACCCCTAACGTCACAAAGAAAGAAAAGACACACGTGGGATGCAGCAGAATGGTACCACAGTTGCTAAAATGAAAAAAATAATTGCCCTGAATTTGAGAAAGGTTTTAGGTGTTTTCCTTGTTTTCTCCAGTTCATGCATTTGGTGATACAGACAGCCTAGTTCTTTACGCATACAAAACAGAGCAGAAACAGTAAAAGGTGCACCTCCTCTCTAAAACCTGTGCCAATGTATCTTCACTCGGAGCTCCAGGATAATTGAGTCTTCTGCTTCATTCAGTTCCTGGCAACTGCAACTACAGTTTTGTGATATATCTACCAGCAGTGGAAGTGAACAAAGATCAACAATTCATTTTACAGGAACCACCACTCAGCAGTTATATGGTAAGCATTTTCAATTAGTACCTGAATTCAATTAAGTATTTTAGAAGTAAAAGGCTGTTCACCATTAAATACCTCAAATTTACTCAGTTGTCCCCATCTTCTACTGACATATGACTATCCCATCACATTTGATATGAAAAAGCTCAGAGAGGAATTATTTTAAAAGCCCACAATGATTAAAGGACATGGTTAAGACACTTACTGATACTGCCACACTGTTCAAACCACATACTCTTGAAAAATTATGATGGTGATATTAAATGAAAAAGAAAAGTGCAACTCTCTTATAACATCTCATACAGAAATAATCTGCTAAGAGTTTCTTGCAATGTCTCTTGCTGCTTTCTGTTACCACCTACTATTTCTGTCAACACAAGCAATCAGTTTGTTGAATGAACCCATACAGGATGCAGAAATCACTGTTCAAAGTGATCACTTCAGAATTTTCCTCAGTTGCAGTTTCTGCCTTTAATACTATGTCAAGTGACTGACTTTTGTAGCATACCACTAAAAAAAATAAATTTAAACTTTGAATGATTCACATGCAACATCATTTTTAAATGACAAAAGTTTCAAATGGTTTTTACTTCTGTCTTTGCTGATTTTTCTAGAAGTGGACCGTCACACTACTCTAGCACAGTGCCTTCAGCCACCAGACCACATCAGCTTTTTCACACCACTCCTCTTGTCAGAGGACACAAAGCTAGGAGATCCCTAATCTCCTTTGTGGGCTTTTAGCCGCATGAATTTCAAAAGAGTGTGAAAGCCAACAAGGCAACCAACAGAACAAAGTTCTTCTCGTGCTGACGGGTGAGTAACCAAGCTCAAGGCCTGTAGGGCATCCTCCCAAGGGCAAAGTTAACGCTGTTCTAATGCCACAAAGCAACCTGCCACCACTCCCCTAACCTCCGAGGTCACTCCCCGCCATCAGCCCACCCACAAGAGCGGGGAGAAAAAATTAGTTACTACTAGGGATGTTGCAGTTATTAGCCACCGCTCTTTGAGCTTTCCAGTTTGTTAACCTGCAGAAGTGGTAGATGCAACAAGGGAGCGCAGGCTGAGGTGGGGGGGGTCCTGCACAGGACCGGGTTCTCACTGCAAACCTCGTTCTTCCAGCCTCGTCAGTTGTACTGACTTTCAAAAGAGCATTTAACAACAGGCACAGATTTACACACAGAATATCTCTCAGCCTCCTTGCTGCTTGTATTTCCATTACCAGCACTGCTATCAGCAGGATGTATTCGCAGCAGACGTGGACGACTAGGAAACGGTGCGATTTGGCTGGCAAGGAACATGACTACATTCTGCCTCCACAGTGATTTGGCCATGGGCTACAGAGTAGCGTATACAGCCAAGACAAATAGTAGCATTTGTAGTTGGTTAAGTGCAACACCAGTTAGGCATTTGTAAGTAACATCAGGTTTGACAGTCGCAAAGCTGGTTGAAAATAGCAGGCCAAATAAGACTCCAAATCTGTTACATCAAATCTAATTTCCATGAAATCCATGTGTCAAACAAGAATAATATTGTAAATGCCTTTTCTGCCAGCAGGGGATAAAGTTGGGGAGGCAGGGGGAGACACAGGTCATGAATCAAACCCGTAGCACAGCTAGACCTCCGAATGCCTTCTCCCTGGTACATACCTTAGCTATAGGTTCACTCTTAGTTTTGTGATGAAAGCTTTATACATTGCTGCCTTAAAAATTAGCAGGTGGGAGTTCTCTCCTTAGTAAACCATAAAAACATTTTCTAGCTAGCCTATTTAGTTTTAGTAGGAATAAAATCACTTTATTCTTTAGTTTTGTTGACATACATATCCACGCGTATGTACGTACACTTTCAGATTTATATGCATAAAATATTCCCACCATGACATCACAATTGATATTTAAACAACAATTTTAACATAAAAGTTTAGAGACTTCATGCTGCCTTACCATAAAGAGCTTTTGCACTTGTTCTTGAATTCTGCTCCCTCTCTGCCTGAGCAAACGTTGGGGAGCCATAGCCACTGGAAGAAAACATTTCTGGTTAACTTCTGCATAGATGTATTTGCCACACAGAGACAGGCATTCAAAAAATCCCTCCCCTTATGTAGGCCTACACATACATACGACATTACCAATAGAGGTAATGATCCTGGGTATTTGTTCAGCACCATGAATACAATAAAGCATGTTTCACTTCGGCTGGAAGCCCTTCTGAGCTCTTTTTTGCCACATTAATACAATGTCATGCACAATGGGGGTGTGGTATACACATAGATACTACGATAATGAAAATAATCAAAATCACTTAAGAATAATAATGACTACGCCAATTTTTCCTGCATACGAAAGTGTTAATCGTTTTTAACAATTTTAACTGCTTTTCATAAAAGACTTAAAAGGACTATCAAGGGACTATCATTGCCTACAACAAATGAAAAGGCAATGCAACTTCCTTCTAGTGTAACAACAAGAATGAGTCATATACAAACTCGCTTTAAAGGAACAACAATATGAGAAGCAGATGACAGCACAGATGCCCTGCTGCATACAGGAATACATCTTTGGCATCAGATTAAGTCAGATCTCATTAGTTCTGCAAATGAGCCCAGTGCCATGCTTCTGATACAGGGAGCATCCTCTCGTCTCAGGCAAGGTAACACTTTCAGGTAACAGTTGCTCAGTTCTGTTTGCTGGGAAACAGTATTTTCTCACAGATGGAAAAGGCAGCCTCATCTTTTATACATAAAAATGCATTCACTCAGAGCTAACCTTAAACATCTCAGGCATACAAAGACCTCTCCAAGCAATATAATAAGTATGTTATGTCTACAGCAATTTATTTTTCTGTTCCAGATGATTCCATTCACTAATACAGCTTTACCCTCACACTAATACAAAAATCAGTCAGATGATATCTGACATGAGGTTTGGTTACATGATTTGGAAACTGCACATTCTTTTACAGAAAATGCCTTTGTATTATTCCAATGGGATCTAATAATTAAGCTCTATCTGAAATAAAAGCATAAAGAAGAAAATACAACACTATTTTTTTCCATCAAAGGAAAATCAAAAGGCATAACCTTACTTCATTTGAGGAAAATAACTTCCATATCCACCGGGAGGGGTGTTTGATATATGTCCATTCATTCTTATCGTCACTTACTGAAGGAAACGATCTGGGAAAAGGAACAACAGCATATGAATTAAAGTCTCTTAAAAGATGAAGGTTTAATACAGATGTAATGCAAACCTAATGAGAAAATTATGGTTGAAATGGGAAAGAAATTGCATCAACAAGCTCAATCGTTATTATCTGCATCACGGTGATGCCTTAAAGACCCGTTATGGAACTTCTCCCAATTGCAATTTGATAGTTATTGCTTCAAATAATTTATAATTTAGTGAATAAAGCTATTATTATTGATACAATGGTCTTTAGGAACAGCTTTAGAAATAAAAGGCTGACTAAACTAAGAACAACATCTACCGCAGAAGTGAACAAGATGTTCCAAATGGCAACTTTAATAGTCAAGCATGCTTGATTTTAATCCTCTGTTCATTTCTTTCAAATGAAACTTTTGAAATGACCTTTTGATACATATTCTATGAAACTTATCAGCTGAATTGTTAGAAAGATGCATTATCAAAACAAAACACAATTGTCAGCACAAAAAGAAACTTGGTTAGCTATTTTGGGACTAAAATGCCTTTTTTTTTTTTTTTTTTTTTAAACCAGCAGCTTTTAACACCCTAAAAGTTTGGCATGCCAAACGAAACCTCTCATATAACAACAATACTGAAAAAGCTATGATGAAACAGTTAAAAGAATGCCTTCTGCCTTTAATAATGGGCCCATTGAAGTTAGAATTGACTCTGGAAAGTGACTTTCATAAGCCTGTAAACAATTAACAAATCTCTATTCAAATTTACCATGGGCAAATATTCTTTCATTTATACATATATGAATAACACATATTTGAATATTTCTCTACATCTCAGTCATTAAACAGAAAGAAGATTTCTTTTAACTCTGCAAAATAGTCAAAAGTACATCAGATAAAATACGTACCTAACAAAAGCTCCATTTCCAAAGTAAGCACAACCTGCTTTGTTGTACTAGAGTCACCTTACAACCAGCTTATCTTCTGAATCACTAAGTCAACTTACTGCCTCACTTTAACTGTTCTCTTCCTGTTTTACAAAGCAGCAGCAGCTGACTGACCTACAGCACATACTGTATTTTGCATCCACATATGTTCTGCCACTTTCCTCTTTCATGCAAAAATACAATCAAAATCAAATTCCGTTCTCAGCTCTAAAGTCTCCTGGCAGTTCAAGAGATGTTTGAGCTGCTTTTGGTCTTTTGTACTGAGAACAGTCATTTTTATACCTTTCTGAGGAACACCTGACATCTCCTACCTGAGATGCAGTTAGCGAGGCTAACTAGAACCGAGCTGCATTGATTACGTGCCAAATGTAATCATGTGGAAGTGTGGTATTGCCTTTAGTGAGCACATACTTGGTAATTTTGCTTAGTATCTCTTTTTTAAAACTTTTTTCTTTTAAATCTTTGATTGCTCCTTGCAAAACGTGTTTACTGACATACCCACATTTTCCTTCCATTCCTCCTGCACACCCCCAAGAATATACCATGTATCCAACCTGGTAGCCTGTTTGGCTGCTCTAAGCCACTTTTTATAGAGTTCAGTACTTAGCAGCTGTCTCCAATAAGTTACTGTCTGTGCCGACTGCTGCTCAATTCATTAGCAATTACAACCCTTGGGAAGCATCCTGAAATTGTCCCATGACTTAAAAGTATAAAAATACTCATTTTCTCAGCAGAATTTGCCAGGTCACTGTGCACTCCTTGTTCTGTTTCAGTCACTGCATGGACCAGAGCTACTCAAGAGTGCACAGCTCATGCTGCCATTAAGATCTTCAACACTTCCTATCAGCTATTGATTCTTATCATCTGCAATCATTGCTCAATTTTGCTACCCTGCTTAACAGTTTATCTTGTGATTAGCTTCCCAAGAGTGACCAGATCAAAAAACCTCATACAAATTATGTCCATCACTTCTCAGTATCCCCCCACTTTCTTTACTTTCCATACACACTTTTATAAAGTTAACATTTATTTAATAATTCTATTTGCCATACCCTTTTATCATTTGTGATTTTTTCATAGCCCTATTTATAACAAATTCTGCAACTATCTGCTTTAAAGTGAGATCTAGAAAAAAACTTGGGTTTAGACTCCCTCACAATTATTTCACTCCTCTGACATCGTAATCTGACAAATACTTGATTTGTTATTTGTACTCCACTTTTATGAAAGTTGTGAAACATGTTTTAAGTAGAAGGAATGTACTATATTACAGCTTAAAGCTTCAGCCTTTGAAGTTAGCATACACACTGAGTTTTAAAGCAGCAGATTTTCACATTAGGGGAAGAAAACACGTCTCATGACTAAATACTTGCCCACTGTAAGGCACAACACCACTTAGAGTAAATATAAAAAGCTTTAAAATTGTATTTTGAATCAAGTGAAAATGAAAAACTGAAGTCAGAAATTTTGTCTGTTTTTCAAAAAAACCACCCCAACAACCCAGCTTGTTCTGCCAAGCAAGCACAAAAGTTTTAGTGAGTTTTAGCTGATATGCAAACAAAACACCACTTGCTATTTGATAGTTGAGTAAAGCCAAAAATATTTCCTGTTCCTTATGCAATTTTCCACTGTTAAAAACAAAATCAAATGCTTTTGAAATGCCAAGACAACTACTTTGACATGACAATTTCAAGAGGCTATGCAATGCGTCTATCCCTTGGTTCAAGAAATCTCCTGAATATGAATACAAACAAACATCTTACAGTTATTGTTTATAATTAGGCCAAATATTTATAACAGCATCAAAAAGCTACTCCTAATTCCCCCAAAATTATCAGGCAATTTCATCTCTTTCAACCTAAATATTTTAAAAAAACCCACAACCCCAAACAATTTAGGAAAACACTTTAAAAATTTTTAAGTGCATGATGGAGAGAATGGAAAAAACATAAAAGGAAACAGAATGTGCAGAGCTTTGTTTATTATTCACTTATACAGCTTTCTCTGCTGTATTTCTCATCTCAAATGCTCTTTCATCTCTTACAACCCGTCCTGTAGCAAAAGTCAAGCCGTGCACACTGCAAAGCCATTCTCGTCCAGGAGTCTATTAATAAACTCTACTTCCTCTTTAATCTTCCCTTTCACCTCAGCCCAGCAGCTCACAGCAACATACGCTGGTGTCCTAGACTTTAAGATAAACACCCTTCAAAATTAACTGTATGATCCCTCTTTAACAGGCCCTCAAGTATCAACAGTTTACTTGTGAATATGTCCAAGAACGGTCATGTCTTTCTTAGGATCTTGAGAAGACATCATGCTTACTCTGAACAAGAAATATGTAAAAACAGGAAAATGAAATAAGAATTTAAGAAGAAAAGAATAATAAGACAATAGCTAAACCAATAAGAAATAATAAGATAAATATTTAGTATATTTGAGATAAATATCTTAAACAATATATTATTAAAACCAGTAAGAAAATAGTTATAAACAGGGAGGGAATTCCTAAAAACAAATAATTACTAAATTCTCTTCCCACAGTGTCAGAGACTGAACAAAAAGAAATCCACCTACAACTTCACTGCTGTCATCAGCTTTATTTTTGAAGGGACTCTAGCATATTGATAGTAAGCAGCAATAGAAATGACAAGGGTCCAACCTTTATAACAGACAAACCATTTCTGAGTCAGATATACTTTGGTTCTTTAGTAGTCAACAGTTACAGGTGGTCTAATCCCAAACATGGGGAGTATTACAGCAGCATACAACATGATTACATGTCATAAATATTCATTTAAAAAAAATGCCCAAATGCTAAAATACTCTTCTCCTTCCCCACCTTGTAGCACAGCAGCCTAATGAAAGCAATACAATCTGTGCGCAACTACAAGCTGACACATTGACAACTCACACGCCCTGCCATTTAATTTCCTAGTAGGGGTTTGATGGTAACAAAATCCCTCAATTTATTTTTAAAAATCCCTTTTCCAGAAGGCAAGAGCTATCTCATCAAAGAAAACGAGATATTCCAGAGACTGGTGCTCTTTTCCACTCATCCTGAATCAATCAGTCCCACCCAGCAGCAGATCACGATATCAGATGGGGAGGAGGGAAAAAAAAAAAAAAAAAAAAAAAAAGAGAGAGAGAGAGAGAAACAGCTTAATGGCATGGATATGTTAGAAATTATGAGGGGGAAGGGTTAAAGAGAGGAGGATGTAGGGGAAGGAAAAGGAAAGCCAAGAATGGCTGAAACAATAATTATCTACGGATTATGAAAATGTTAGTAACAAGTCATTGTTATCACATGTCCCAAACCCCCAAGAATTCTTCCCCAGCTAGATAGCAGGCACAGGCTGTAACTCTAGCCTAAACAAAAATGGGTGGACTATTACAAGGCAAAATTTATCTGTAGCGGATCTGACATTGTAGCAATGTCAGATAAGGACACTATTTCTCCACCCTTTCCCTTTTAAATATATTACGGAACAACAAAAAACAACAACAAAAAAATCAGAGGTATCCATGCTACATTGTAACTCACTAAGCATTCAGTAAAAATGCTTCTTATTGCTATTCCATAGCATTCAATACTGCTGTTCTACAGAACGTAGAAAAACTATTTAACTTGCTGCGTGACTTACTATTTTTCATTTGTTTCTTCTCGAACCTCACCCTGTTCACCCACACACGCTTTCCTTCCTCATGCTAAATTTTTGAACAGCTATTACTTTTAACCCTCTTGTTTCTCCATGCTGAGGTAGTTTCTTTAGTTATTCCTTAAGTTCCTGTATTTTGGTGTCTTCTCCTTTTGTGTCTACCTTGTTCTGACCCAACACTCTCCTATTTGTATCTTCACTCCAGCCACAGATTTTACAAATGGAAAATTCCTGATAGAAATGGGTCCCACGGGTTCAGGTGAAATGCTGCTGCCCTCTGCTTCGGGACTTGCTTCAGACAAGAACCAAGAGCAAACACGAGTTCCGCTGGCTGTTCAACATCTTACCTCGAGATAAACACCAAGATGCACATGCATGCATGAGTAAGTATTACTTTGGAAATGATCACTGG